TATTCATAATAATAAATGTTTACAAATAATTAAATTTGGAATAAAACTATCCTAATTTTTCTAAGTTTCCTAGTCTTCATCTTCTATCCAATGCTCCTTTGTCGCTCAATTATTTTTCATCTGCAAAATAAAGAAAGAAGAGAAAAGTCAAAAGCAGATAAAATTAAAAAGGCAGACAGATAAAAAAGAATTCATCATTAAAGGCAATTGGCCGGAATCAGTTCGCCCTCTCCGCAAATCACGAGATTTCTCCCGGTTCACAGAGAGGGATGAAAAATGCTTACAACAAAAGTATTGAAATGCACAAAAATTTTAATTGCACAAATTCAAATTTGTCAAAGCTACATAATTTCAAAAGTCTCAAACAGCATGAGCAAGTACAAAATCCAAAGGTAAACTGAACTAGAACTACAAAGTCCAAACTGAGTTCCAATGTCAAACTAAACCAAAAGCTGACCAAAAGGCTATTCAGATACAAGTACAAAATGCTGTCAAAAGAAGATATGGAAAGATATCAAGAAGACATAAAGTATGCAGAGAAAACATGTATTGCAAGCAAGCAAATTTCAATATCATCATTTTTCCAGCAGTGCCTTTTCAGGATAAGGACAATATAAGCAATATAGAATGCTTAAAAACTGTCAAAGAGAGAGGAGAGAGAGAGTAAGAGGAGATAGGCTTACAGGTTTAGGCATGAGGACAAGATATATAAAAACAAAACTGCAATAAAACAGTAGGGCAGAAGGCAGAGATATTGAAAAATCAGAATACAAACAAAACTGTTAAGAAAAAGAAACAGAATTGCCTATCCACACCATAAACCTTTCAAGCAAAGGCCATAAACCTGATTCAAACCCTGAACCTGTTTGAGGCATATAACACAAAGCCTTGGTTCTAAACCTGTGATGGCCAAAAAGCACAAACCAGTCCATCAAACCTTAAGCATAAAAAACATAAACTCACCAAAGCCTTTGTTCAAAAAACCGGTAAGCTCACCAAAAGCCATAGCCTCAATCAAAGCAAAAACTGCCTGAAGCTTTCAACCAAGCAAAAGAAGCCTGAACCTGTCAAACATAAAAACCCAAACAAAAAGTCATCCATAAACCTGCTAATGCATAAGCCTTTCAAAGCCTCACCATTCCACAAACCTGAACCTGTGTTTCTAAACCAAAAAACCAGTTCAAAACATCAAAAGGCTTTTCAAACAAAAGCCTTTAACTTGTCAAAAGGCCAAGCCCCTAACTGAAGCAACCAAGGCCCTCAGAGCATTCTCATCACAGGGCAAGCATTTCAAGGCAACAGATCAAGCACAACGTATCAAACACCTCAGAAGCATACAAAATGTTCATAGGCAACTGAAGAAAGTGAAAGAAACGAGGAAAAGAAGCAATCAAATGTATCAAGCAAGCAGAGGCTAACAAGAGAAGAAGAAGAGAAGCACGCAAAGGCAACCAGAAGAGGAAAGAAGGGATAAAAGCTAGGTTCTCAGGACCATCATCAAACCCTAAAGAGACAACGATACAAACCAGATTTTCCAGCATCACCAAGCTTCGCCTCCGGCCGCCTGAGCGCCTCTATCTTCCTCCCCTCCTCCGTCTCCAAGAGGTGGTATCCTTCCCTCTTTTTCTTTCACGCACCTCAAAATAACCACAACAATACTTAATCAGAATCAACAAATGAAAATCGGAACATGCAAGGACAAAATCAAAAAACCTAAAAACATTCAAGATCGGTACCTTTTTCTCATTTTTTCTGCGTTGCCCAACCAATGGAGGGAAGAGGGCGAACGGTGGCGCTCGGTGGCCTTGGACGGAAGATTGCATCAGTGGTCATGGCAAAGAAGAAACTCAGAAGCGAATCGAAGAAGACGAAGAGCAAAAACGAAGAACGGCGCCTCTGTGTCTCTCAAACCCTAAGCTTTCCCAAATGAAACAATATTCACTTAACCCTAAAACGTTCACAAACCCACTTGGGCCTTCAACCCGTTCCCAACGCCTCAAGCCCATTTCAGTTAGCACACCCCCCTTCTTTCTTGTTGTTGCTCAGTTGGTTTTGTTAATTGGGCCAAACCCTTTCAAGCCCACATAACCTCTTTTCTTTTTCTATTAACAAACCCTTTTTAATCTTTTCTAAATTTTCATTTATTTTATAACCTAACTCTTTTTTTTATATATACATAATATTTTAACTAAGATATAAATAATACATTAATCTCATTAAATTTTGTTTATCACATTTAAAATAAATATTAGACTTTTTTATCTAGGTTTAAACATTTTGTTTTATTAAAACTTTTTTGTACATAAAACAATACTAACACAAATACCCAAAACATTAATTCATAAGACTCAAAACATTTCTTTTCTTAAAAAAAAATCTTTTTCTTTATACATAAAATTATTAATTAAAAACATTAATATTTTAAAACATTCTTTTCTTAAGATTAAAACTTTTGTTTTATATATATTTAACAAAATATAAAATGATAACAATATATAAATGAAATATTCAATTTTCTCATTAAGTTAACAATACTTGATAATACATTAAATTCACATTTTTCTCAACCTGTAAATAAATTACATACACATATACACATACACTTACACAATTACATTAACGCATTTACATTTACATTTGCTATTCCTATACATTGCTATACATTATATTTTACATCGCGATCGATTCGATTTGGTTGTAATTATTTAAAGTCTCATTCCCATTTGTAAATTTGTACCCCCACTCCCGGATACTATTTTGTAATAGCGTAGACTTTAAATTCCCGCAATTTATCGCTTTTGAATTATACCATGTTTAGACCTAGGGTTTACATGTACATAAAATCGAACGCTAGATAACCTAATACAAGACAAATACATGAAATCAATACACAATCACACTTGCACCCCTAGGGTAATCCCACTCGTTGCCTTCCAAAATGGGCCATGCTTGTACGTCGAGTTTCTTTGGCAAAACAATTCAAATGATCATAAGTCTCTCGATGACGCTTTCGAAAGTTGCCTATCAAAATGATCAAGTCTCTTCAAGTAAATTGCCAAAGACACTTGGCACCATTGCATTCATGGTCCATACGATGACCCGTGTCTGTCCCGTTAAAACACCATAAACGCAAGATTGTCCACCAAATACAATGGTGGAACAAAAATTGTTAAAAAGGGTTAAAACATGAGAAAAACCTTTGAGTACATTAGGGGTAGACAAAACTCTTAGTTACTTGATCAACTTGCAAAAACACTTGCCTACTTTTCAAACCACACTCCACAAACACTTTCAAAACAAAAACATTTGAAACATCTTTTCGAAAAGATACACACCTTTGTATATACTCAAACACGAGTCATTACAACGGTTGCCGAAACAAAGGCGTCTATTTCAAAAACATTTTCAAAACACAAATACACACACCATTTCAAGCAATCAAAAATCAAGGCAAGTGATCTAAAACCAAGTAACTAAGAGCCCATGGATAACCATGGATGAAAAGGGTGCTAATACCTTCCCTTTTCATATCTCAAAAGGTTTTTCCTGTGCTTTTTAACCTTTCCTTTAGGATAAAATAAAAAGTCGGTGGCGACTCTTGCTAAACCGAACAAGTGCGAATATAAAACGCAAAACTCAAAGTCAGTTCTCCCACCGTATCACACTCCCAAATGTTTATCGTTGATCCATTACCTATATTCCAATAACTCCCCTGTTTAATGATACATATGCAATTGTTGCAACTGGTTTTTAAATCAGAGTCTTCACCCTTAATTTTTATCCTAAAGGAAGGGGGTATAAAGGAATAACCCTAAAGTTCATAGATTCTAGATTTGGAATCGGCTCTAGACGAAGGAAAGGTATTTGGCACCTCTCATCTACCTTGTTCACAAGGATACTATGTTTAGAAGTGCAATTTTTAGGAAAAAGGATTTTAATATTTTATTAGGGGAAAAGGGTTTAAATTTTAGTTAGGGGGAAAAGGGTTTGAATTTTAGTTAGGGGAACTCGCCACGATTTTTGATCGTATGCCTATGTATCTTCTTAGGAGGAATAAGAGTCTCATTTCGTAGTTCGCGGGCTGGTTGGTGTTTTTTATAAGATTGCATATAATTGCTTTCGAATTACCCTTGAACTTTGTTTTCGTTGAAAATTGTGTGAGTGTAGACGTAGTTCACAATTTGATTTGAAGACAATGCTATTTAATCTTCTTTTTTTTTCGAAAAAATGATCTTGAAGTTCTGATTAAGTTAGTAAAAAAAAGTTTGATCGTTGGTTAGTTGTTTTTGGGTTTTGATTTAATTAGAGAGTGATAAGACATATAATGGGGAGTCTAATATAATCTTCTTATCACGTGGTCAGATATTGGCCACGTGTCACTCGTGGATGGTGAATTGGGTGAGTCGCGTGGATTTTAATTCTTTGATTTTGAATAATAAACCAGGAGACAATGTGTCGACCAATTTAATTACTCGAAGATGGACATCCTATTATTATAGAGTGTTGGAATTAATTTGATTTAAAAAAGTTTAATTTTTAGTTTCTTATAATTAAAAGTTAGTAAAATATATTACACTAATTTAATTTTAACAACTAATCTAAATGAATGAAAATATTTTTGTTTGTATTTTTTATAAATAATTAAAAATGGACTACACAAAAGTGATTTAAATAAATTGATAACAAATAAATGGCATAGAATTAGATTTTGGCCACATATATTAGAATTGAGTCTACTAATAAAAGCACTACAGTTTCTAAGCTAACTAAACTACACCTTTTGTTCCACGTGAGAATGAGGAAAAAAATCATTATCCATTGGTATGTATAAGATCACTACTTTTCCAATTGAAAAATAAAACAAATCATTAAGGCTAATAAAGAGAGAATAAAATTATTAATAGGTAATAAAAAGTAAAGCAATAAAAGCGGGATAAATGTTTAATAAAATAAATAAGGAATGTAGAGAGTTATGCCTCTCTCCCTCCATGTTTATAGATCAGTGGTGTCTTTTTCCAATGACCAATTTATTTCCTTTTTTTAATATATATTTAAAGTGACAATTAATATGTACTTTTCTCTCTTTAAATCATATAAAACCACTCTTACAACAAAACAAAAAGACAAAAGAAAACTCCAACTCTCTATGTTTCTTCTTCATCCATATGAATCAATTTCACGGCAAATACACAAACTTATATATTCAGTCATTTATTATCTTAACAAAATATTAATCCACCCCACTCAGCATCGCCCACGAGATCGAGAAAAGGAAAAAAGAATTACCTCACATGTTCAGATTCGGCTCCAATGGCGCATGGTGTACGGCGAAGCGGATTGGGTTGCTGTCGAAGATGGAGGTTGCGGAAACAAGGATATGGTCGATAGAGGGATTCGAATCTGTCGGTGATGTATGTGTGTGTTGAAGGTGAGCACGGGATCTCGGCGGTGGCAGCCCGACTGTGGATCTGGAGGTGTATGCGGTGGTGTCGTCGAAAAGTGGGATCGTGGTGTGGTGGTTTGCGGAGGTGTTGGATGTAGCGTCGAAGGAGGCTTGATTCAGAATTTGAGTCTTCCTTCATCTTTTCCTCCAAAACAACAAAGACAATAGCAACAATTTTGTCATGTTCAGGAGTTCCAATCAATATTTCAACTTGATGTTTTGTTTCTTCTTTTTCATGCAAAGATCTGAAATTTGTTGTTAGTAATATCAGGGACTGTTTTTTCCCCGAAAATTGTAGTTATTGTGAATATTTTGATGTTTGGTTTGTTGATTGATTGTTGTTTCACTTGTTTTTTTGGATTTTTCTTACTTTATTTTTCAAAGGAATTAACATACATAATACTTGAACGTGTGAATTTTCACGTACACATATTGTGATGCATGATATTGATTCAAGATGTTATGTATAAAGTGTCAAAGGTTAAATAAACAATGCAAAATTATAGCAAGGTTGGACCTATATACAAATCAGATTTGATACGCAAAAAAGTTTCATATTGAAAATATCATGGAGTAAATGATATTAATCCCGTAGACAAAGAACATATTGCAAAAAATGAAACAGCAAATGGGTGATTGCTGTAGATGTTTGAAATGTGTTGTCATCATGAAAATTTTGTATAAACCTGCAACAAAATCAAAACAAGAATGGATAGAAATTTGTACAAAAAGTATGTTATTAGTAAGAAATAGTAAGAGACAGTAAAAAGACGATAAACAATAGTTTGTTATTCTAATGAGTTAATAAATGGGAAAAAAAAGTGTTTACAATGTGAAAGTATATGTTTTTATATGGAAAAAAATATTCAAGATTTCTATGATATGTAAATAAAATTGATGAAAAAGCTTTGTATAAATTTCTATCAAAGGTATTTTTTTAAATAACAGTCATTAGAACAAAATTATTATATGGGTAAAATAACAAACAAATTGAAAATAAAGTTGAAAACAAAAGAAAATGGGACTCATATAAAATCATCGTACGTAATAACAAAATAACACCAAAAGTGTTGAAAAGAAATTTTAAAAGAAAGTGTATGGAATTGTGAGAAAGTGTGGACGTGTGAGAAAGTGTGAATTTCTTTGGATTAAAAACTAGGACAATGAGGAGTCCTATTTATAGATATGGAATTAGGTTAAACAAACTTAACAAGTAAGTTATTCAAAGTGAATGAAAAGCTCAAGCCTGATTTCCAAAAAGGACAGAAAATTAGTAACAAAAAGAAATAAAAAGAACGTCACAAGTGCTCCATAAGAGATTTGAACCTACAACCTTATACTTGTAAGCTTTATTCTTTATCAATTGTGTTGTGTTACTCATTTGTAAATAAACTCAATTTGAAGGAATATGAAAGGCGTGCAGATATTTGCTATTTTAAAAATACAAATAATTTGAAATGAATCATTATATTTTTAAATATGTTTGGAAGCGAATATTTATAAAAATTAAATAATATTATAAAAATAAAGTTTAAAATATTTTTGACTGGACTTGAGAATGAACATCTATAAAAATCAAATAATATTATAAAAACAAAGTTTAACATTTTTTTGACTGGACTTGATAATGAACATCTATGAAAATCAAATAATATTATAAAAACAAAGTTTAAAATATTTTTGATTGTAGAAGTAAAAGGGCGGACAAATTTGGGGTATGACAGCTGCCTCTATTTAATCACTCTTTGATTTAATGGTGCGAGAATGTACAAGTCTCGCACGTTCGAATCAGAGGATTATTAAATAATAGAAGATCCCAAAATTTGACCAAAGATTTATTAAACAAGGATACACTAATATAGCATACCCCAAAGCTCAAAGAAATAGGCAAGGGTGATGATGTATCATCCTACCAGAGTTTAAATAAAGAGATATAAATGAAGGGTAAGTTTGACCGAGATATGATGATGCAGATAACTCGCCAATACTTTGAAAAGAGACCGTAGATTCTTTTTCATATTTACAACAACACAAGTCTTGGAAAGGTTGACTTACTAATGCTTGGAGACTAATATAGTAACTTTGTGACGCATATTTTGTATATTCATCGCAATCTAGGGGATGAATAACATAAAGCTCGATAACACATTCCTGCTTAGAGACTAATTCCATGAGCCAAAGATTTTTTGTATACCTATCACAGCCTAATGGATAGATAATACAAGCTTGAAACCAGATATTTGGAACTTGGAAGGATGAAGTTGGTTGTGTCAGTCCTCAACCAAGATTCGATATCCAAATGAAATAAGCTAGATTTGAAGCGATGGAACCAAAATTCACTGATGATGTTTGGTTGTGTCAGCCCTCAACCACAACTATCAACACGAAGAACACCAAATTCATGATGATGTCGTTTGTGTCGCCCTCAACCACAACTATCAACATGAAGGAAAATAAGCACCAAATTCATGATGAAGTTGGTTGTGTCACCCTCAACCACAACTATCAATATGAAGAACACCAAATTCATGATGAAGTTAAGTGTGTCGTCCTCAACCACAACTATCTACATGAAGCAAATATACCCTAAATTCATGATGAAGTCGGTTATGTCGTCCTCAACCATAACTATCAACATGAAGAACACCAAATTTACGATGAAGTCGGTTGTGTCGTCCTTAACCACAACTATCAACATGAAGCAATAATACCCCAAATTCATGATGAAGTCAGTTATGTCGTCCTCAACCACAACTATCAACGTGAAGAATGCCAAATTCATGATGAAGTTGGTTGTGTCGTCCTTAACCACAACTATCAACCTAAAGCAAATATACCCCAAATTCACGATGAAGTCGGTTATGTCGTCCTCAACCACAACTATTAACATGAGGAAAAATAAGCACCAAATTCACGATGAAGTTGGTTGTGTCGCCCTCAACCACAACTATCAATGTGAAGAACACCAAATTTATTATGAAGTCGGTTATGTCGTCCTCAACCACAACTATCAACATGAGAAAAATAAGCACCAAATTCACGATGAAGTTGGTTGTGTCGCCCTCAACCACAATTATCAACATGAAGAACACCAAATTCATGATGAAGTCGGTTGTGTCGTTCTTAACCACAACTATCAACATGAGGAAAATAAACACCAAATTGCTTTAAAGTTTGAACTATATAGTTCGCACGGATAGGCTTGCTAACGATGAAACCCAAGAAAATTCGTAATTTTAACCAAAGTAGATTTGCAAGATTCCATGTGTTCTACCCCAAAAAATTTCCCTCCCTTTTCTCAAGATATTTCCCACAAAGATCTTCAATGATTTAAGCTTCAATAGTATTGACTAGGTCAAACCATCTCCTCAATACTGATGCCTCAAATTAGGGTTTGAGTTTTCACAAGGACAGTTGGACTTATAATATTTCAAATTACTTTCATGGATCATTATGGACCCTCGATATTGCTCCTGTCAAGTTTCAAGTCTTGGATCACAAAATTGGTCAGACAATTGATCAGGTAGTCTAAAATCAATTGTATTGGGTAAAAAGTCAACTATGGTCAACCTACAGTCAAACTTCAAGATTCTGGACCAATATCAACATTTTGAAGTCATATGTATCATTTGATCAAGATTGGATCATAATTCTCCAAGAAAATTGTTCAAATCATCAAAAGGGCAAAATGGTCAAAATTAGGGTTTTGATTGAGAATGACCAATCTTTGACTTTTGACCTAGTACATAACTTATTGGTTTGAAACATGATATCAAGGATCCAAGTACATCATTTTGATCTAATTTCATATTTCAATTCATCTCTCAAGATCAGTGGATTGATAGATGAAATTTGGTCAACTCATAAGAAATGTCAATTGTACATTGAAAAGACAAACTTTGACTTTTTGATCAAATTTGAGTTTCAAATATCACATTTCATCAAGACATTCAAAATATGAAATTTGATCATCAAAAAATCAAGAAAGTCAAAAGTCATTTTGAAAAGTCAAACTTTGCAAGACTTAGAAATTTTTCTAAGTATTTTTTATACATGTTAATTTCATTACTTCATGACATCTTTTCATCATAATTCAAGATAATTCAAGTTGTTACAAGTTTTCAAGTAAACAAAAAGGTTGCATTTTTAAGTTAAAAATTGCAAGTTACAAATCCTAAGCTTTGTCTTGTTTGAACTTTTCCCTTTGGCTCAATCTTCAAACTTTGCCACTATGTTGCCCACAAATATGCCTTGTCTTTGTTATAAGCTGCATAAATTTGTCCATAAAACCAGACATGCATCATGCTACATATCCTGTTGTCCAAAACATGCATAGTAATGCCAAGAAAACTGTCAAAACCTGCTCCAAAACCTGCAATGTTGCCCTGAAAAATTTGCATCATATCAATCTTATATTTGCACAAACTTAGCACATAAGAGCTGCATCTAAAAAGCAATGAAACAGTGTACCCAAACAGTTCAAAAACTTATCTATTTCCCTCCTAAATTTTAGTCAATTTCATCTACAAATAAGTTGTTTCACAACACACAGAGGGAGGTTTTTATTTTAGAGAAAAGAGGGAAGAGAAAAAAAGAAGATTTAGAAAAACCTAACAGAATTCTTTGTAAACTCTGCTCATCTATTTTCATTCACAAAACAAAAACTAAGAAACAAAAAAAAAATCCTCAACCCATTGTTCAACCTTGCAAGTTTTCCCCTAAACCAACTATCTAAACACTTCATATACATCACATAGAAATTGTTCAAACACAAGAACAATTTATGTAATACCATTATCATCACCTTCCAAACACAAACAAAAACAGTATTTTACAACTTGATTGGGTTGGAGCGATTCAGGAATTTTTCGGCAGAGAGTAAGGTTTGGAGAAACTTTAAGAAGGTTCAAAGGAGCTTGACCAATCACCACCTTGTGCCTAGAGACATCCGTACATGTTCCAAAGTTTTCGCTTTGAGAGGTAAACTTTTTTCTAAACTGTGATATCTTTATCCATACATCATTTACTTTTTGTATTCAAAATATATGTATAAATAAGGATAAATCAAAAGCAGAAAACTCAGCGGAAAATCCAAGATAGGGGGCTAACACGGGTACCCGTGTCACACAACACGGCCCGTGTCAGCTCAACTATTTGAAAACCTAACAAAAAATGCAAGACAGGGTGCTAACACGGGTTCCTGTGTCACAGGCCACAACCCGTGTCACAGGACACAGCCCGTGTTAGATCTACTGGAACTGAAAACGTGCAAAAAAGGAGGATAGGGGGTTGACACGGCCCGTGTTGAATCAACTGGAACTGAAAACGTGACAAATTAGCAGGACAGGTTCTTGACACGGGTTCCCGTGTCATAGGACACAACCCGTGTTAGCTCATCTGGGACAGAAGAAAACACGCATGGGTTATTACAAGGCCCTGACATGAGTGGTCGTGTCACAGGACACGGCCCGTGTCAGACTAGACACCAAAAATCTTGATTTTTTTGACTTTTTGCTATTATTTTCATTCAATTTGGTTGTAATAAGTAATTAGGATTTTACTTTTCCCGCATTTTTATTACTTGTATCCCCATCCCCTACAATGATGTAATAGCGTGTGATTTTAATTTCTGCAATTTATCGCTTTTAATATAATTGTTAGTAATTACTTGTATCCCCATCCCCTACAATGATGTAACAGCGTAGGATTTTAATTTCTGCAATTTATCGCTTTTAATATAATTGTTAGTAATTAGGGTGTGTATGGCAAGATAAAATCAATCTTAGAGAACCCTAATCTCAAAGACAAAAATGTATGCAATTAAAACATAATTCACACATACGCACCTCTAGGGTAACCCATAGTTGTTGTCTACGAATAAGCAGTCATGTTCCTCAAAAGTGGGGTACTTTAGCAATGAATCTCGATTACAAGATCGTAGTCCCTCGATGACCCTTTGATGTTGCCTTCGATAAATGATCTTAGTCCCTTACGACAAATTGCTAAGGTATCCTACAATGTTGCCTTCTATGACTGTACGACGACCCATGCCCGTACCTTCACATCCAATGATAGGGCTTCTTACCAATCAATGGTAAGATAGCAACATCTAAAGGAGGAGGAAAAGAACTAATACTTTTTGAGTAGGTAGAAAGTTCATAGTTGCTTTCTCACAACCATTTTCAAAACATCTTTCAAAATACACCAACACTTTCAAATGAAATATTTTCAAAAGTCAACACTTTGCATACATTCTTATAGAGACAAGAATCATTACAAAGTTTGCCGAAACGAAGGCACTTTAAAAAATACTTTCAAAAACAATCACAAACACATTTCAAACAAATCATTTTCAAAGTGAGCTAGCAACTAAGAGCCCGT